CCAAGTTCTCAAAGACCATCCTATCTAGTTCTTTCTAAAGTAATTTATTAACTTTGCCTTTAGTCCATTTTTAATATGTTTTTTTAGGTTTTTTTCTTTTTTTACTTAGTATCTCCTTACGATAAATTCTTTATGTTATTAAGCAAAGAGACCCTTCTCTGCCTAAAATAGGAAGAAAAAGAATAAAGAAAGGGGTGTAGGAGAAAGTGAGCAGAACATTTTTGTTAGCCAAATGTCTGATTTATTTAGGGTTCCTAGTAACCTCTAAAATCCACTAGCAGTGCATGAGGAGAGCTGCTCAGCAGGAAACACTTTCTGCACTCTTTCTCCTATTTGTCAGATACTTATCAACCACTTTTTCTGAGTTATTAACTCAGTATACCAAAAACCAACATTTAAGATTGAGTTATTTATCTTTAGAGGATTATAAGCAGAGCAAATAGTCAAATGAGAAAATGATTTTGACAGTGTTAAGTGGGAAAATTTTCATTTTGGGATTATACTTTCAGTCTCTGAAACAGAAATTTCTATGCATTTATATTTGTTTCTAAATTCTCTACTTGGCCATGCATGCTTTCATTTATAAGGGCATGATATAAGAAAGAATTATGAGTTCAAAATAAAGATTAAATTTTGCAGACGTATAATTCTTATGTAATGTTTTAAAATGTATATTGTGTTTGCTATCATTTTTCCCCAAAAGTCCTCATGTAGTATGAGTTTGAGTATTTGCATGTTAAAAAGTTTACTTTTTATGGCTGTTAGCCACAGTTTTAGATGGCAAAGCAGTTGGCAAAACAACTGCTTTTGTCTTAAAAAATAATATTTTTCTAAGGAAACTTCTTACCTAGCTTTTTATATAATTATGGCAACAAAGAGTGCGGTGGAGTAGGAAAAGAGGAGTTAGAAAAGTTCAGACTTAAACACTCAAAGTACAGCTTAAAATACTGTTTTAAATAAAGAACTTAGTTTACTGCTCCAATGATTAGCTGTAGGAATTTGGGCTTTCCATCCTGATCTATAAAATTCTCTGTCTTTCCATCCTGATCTATAAAATTCTCTATAAATGCTCACAGGAAATTATAAAATTTCATGAATTATTATTTATAAGGTGCTTAGAAGAGCCTAGAAGAGCCTAGGTAATACATATACATGTGGGTGTTTAGTAAATATTTTAGCGTACAAGTCATTGCCATTCTAAATCAACTGGTTTAGGATTACTGTCTCAAACAGAAAAATATGGTGTTCAAGAAGCATCATCTACATTTGAGTTTATTAATTCATCTTAGAATGTATTTTAACCTAGGTTAATATTTGAACTTATTTTAGACTCGTTTAAAGACTATAAAAGCAGAATGAACATTTCAACATGAGGATACTATTGAAAGTAATGACATAATAATATGAAGGCGTGCTACACCTTTTTCGAAGGAAAGAATTCTATACTGAAATGAGATAATCCCTTTTTTTTCACTCCCTTACATTTATTTACCATTTTACAAAACATTTCTGCCCACATTATCTCATTTACTCTCCCCATAGTAACTAACTTTTTGGGATATACATTTACTGAACAATAAGGATTTTATAATTAACCTGAAAGATAAGGGAGATTTTTTTATTTATCTAAGGATCATGAACTGGTAAGCCAAAATAAAACGAACTTGCCTAGAAGTTAGTGATTAAAACAGGATTTAGTCTCCTAGTCTGATATTCATAGATATGGGGAACAGAGAAACGGTTTCTTTTCTGGAATCTCTTGGCTGGGGTGTCACTTTTTTCACAGTTCCTGATAGACAGGAAAGGTAAACAAGCTCCACTATTAAGAAACCATCTTCAACTGTCAAGTTAGGAAAGCTAGGAAACCACTACTGATACACCCAAGTACTTCAAAAAGAACTGCAGGAGTTTCCCCAATCTCCTGGCAGCTTTCCTGGGGGCCCCCAAGGTTTCCCCAGTGCCTGGGAAGTTCTGTGAGCCTTGTTTATGTTGAGGAGGACGGCCGCAGCACAATGGCAGTGACACCTTGGGCCTTGGCTGGATGCCCCGAGGCCACTGGGAACCCCAACAATGACAGCTCTTGAGCCTAGCCCCCGACAGGTCCCCAAAACCCCACGACAGGCCCGTAGGGAACCCAGCCAGGTTCCGGAAGAGCCTTAGCCGCTGCAGGCAGCGGTCCTCGGCAGGGCCGAGTGGGGTCTGGTGACACTTTTCAATGAAAGAGACATGTTGTGCCTCTTTCAGCGTTTCTGCGAAGTGGCCACATTCCAGCCCCAAAGTCAAGCGGCCAGAAAGAAAGCACAGGTGTTTACTTCAAATTTCAGAAACTGCAGTTCCAGAGGTTGGCAAAGCCCCATCCCAAGGGGAAGATGGGGGCCAGGGATGCCGATGGAAGTGCCGCGCATCCCCTCGGACCCCTTGCTTGGGGTAGGCCTCGTGCCCTTCCCAGGGTCCCCACCTGTCGGCTGGTCCACTTCCTCAAGGCCGAGGGCCGAGGCGTGGGACTATTTTGTTATCTCTCTGCCTGGAGGTGAGTGAGGGGGTCATGAGCCTGGCGGCCGCCGCTCCACAAGTACAAGCGCTGCAGCTGGACTTCTCCGTGGGGCCTAAGCCTGGACTTGGCGCCTGAGGACCTCTACGTCTCAGCAGCCCGACTCCTACTCGCAGGGTGTGCTGACTCGGTTCTGAACGCCCCGCTGGCTCTAGGCCCAGAGCAGAGTTCATCTGCCTGAGCTTTGCACTTGTTCTGTCCCACCGCCATCTACTCACCAAAGTAGGCACCGAACCCCGCCCCCTCCCTTCCTTCTCTTCCTCCAACAAGCCCCCTGCTACCGGGGAGATAACCCATTTTTAGGTGCTATTTAGCTGTGAAAATTGGTAAATTACTCTTGCTGGGCTTCCATTACTTCTATCATTTGTTATATATAATAAGGATTTGATTAGGTGATTTTTAAAATTACCTTTCCTTCAAATATTTTCTGAGTCTCTAAAGTGTAGACTGATAATTCTGAAATATTAAGACCTTCGCTCTAGAGATATCTGGTAACTTTATTTATTTTTAATATTGTAAGGCAGTGGTTTCCAATCTTTTTGGCACCAAGGACCAGTTTTATGGAAGACAACTTATACACAGGCGAGCAGTAAGGTACCCCTGTCCCTAAGAGACCATGGACCACTACGGTCCGTGTCCCGAGAGTTGAAGACCACGGGTAGTAAAGTATGTTTGGTCCCGTTGTAGAATATAATCCATATAACTATTAATCAAATCTCTTATGTTAAAAACTTGTCCGTCGTTAAAAAACAAAGGGATTTGGGGTTAAAAAAATAGGGGATGCTGAGAAGAGGGAGAATCTTACACCATAAATCATGTTATGAATTAAAATTATATATTGAATGTATTTTCTCACCCTCGATAGCAAATGAAGGAGGTAAAAAATATGCATGAAACCCAGTTGTCTGGGCCTGTTGACATTCCATACATATTCACTGAATTATGTGGAAAAAGAGTAAAACCAATCCACCATTATATACAACTTCAACACAAAAACAGCGCTTATTGCATTCTGAATACAGTACTCAAGTTATTCAATATAAGCTTATTGAAACTGTACTATATGCTAGCAATGTATTTTGCTGAATAAATTTTACCACTGTCACCAAATAAATCTATAAATCTGCCTGTTTGTGAAAATGCTCTGAAAATTATAAAATGTGTTTACAATATGGTATTATTACAATGATAAAGATTTTCCTCATTATCATTATCATTCATTTGCTATTATCTATGATATTTCTTATTTGAAGTTATAGAAGCTGTAAAAATCCATTAATTATAGACTATATTTTGAAACAGAATGTATATTTTTCATAGTTATTTAACATTTAATGTGTTTCAACTATGTTTTCTCAACTATAGTGCAGATTGTTTCAGGGCAGAAAATGTGCTTGCTTTTAATAATATATGCTCAAAAGTGTTTAGTATTTACTTTGTACACTTAATTCATCTCTTTTATTTGCAATATAAATGGTTTCTCTGATATATTATTTCATCTGAACTTTGTTTTTTCTACCTACAACACACACACACACATACACACAAACATTTTTCAAAATAAAGAGAAATCAGTAGTAGAATGTCATTTATATAGTGGATTTTTAATTGATGCTTGTTGAATGTTGATAGAATTGAAAGAGATTATAAAACTAAATTCATCACATTCCAGATTCTGACCCTCACATTCTTTATCAACTTTCATTATACTTTATTTTTCACTGTTGTTTTTGTTTTTTTTCTCTCTTTACTATACTTTTTTTCTATTGAACAAAAAAGTTGTTAATGAGGCAGACGACTCTGGAGGAAACATTTTTAAAAGTGACCCAGCAGAATGCCTCCTTAACCTCAAGGGCCTGCTTCCTGGTCCTTCGACTACTACTGATGTTTCTTCTCACCTGATCATGTCCTTCAAGTGTTGTGGGCCTAAAGCTTACACAATTTAGAAGGCTCTCTTTAAGAAAATAATAACAAAATTAGGTACAAGGCCTTGAAAGGGGCCGTACAAATGACAGGTCCTAAAACTTAAGCCTCATTATCTTCACTGCAAATCCACTTCTGCCTAAAAGTCTGGTCTCTTTTTCCTCTACCTCAGCATCTTTCTCTGTGCAATTTCTGCCTTGAAGGCCCTTTCCGTCCCTTTTTGCCTAGATAACTCTTTCAGCTCATTGTCCTCTCTGATTCCCCACCTAGGTTAGGGGCCTCTTCAGAATACCTCTCACCGCTCTAAGCATTCTGGGTGCCAGGTTGCTTTTTCTCCAGCACCCTCAAGAGATCACAGGCTGAATGGGGGTATATAGCGGTGGACGGAGAGAGTGTCCGTTATAATTCACTCCCCTGTACCCGCTCTTGTCCTCCAGGGCGGCGCTCACTACATCCCCTGGAACCCGTGGGTCTCCCCCTAAGGTTCCGGTCGGAATTACCTAGTGGGACACTCTGACTCCGCCGTGCCGATACTAAGAGCTGTTCGGGAGCTGCTGAAGCATGTGGACTTCGCAATGGTCCTGCTGAGACATTGACATTGCAAGAAATGGGTAAGGTCCGACTTTGGGCACAGAAGGGAACAGTAATTGCAGTCTGTGGCTGCTGCCCCTCTGGAAATGTCTCCAGCCCTTCTATTTTCTGCCCCCTTTGGTTACCTTGTTTACTTCCGCCCCTCTAGAACGTTTAGGCCTCTTTCCCATGCCACTCAGGGAATGTCACTCTATACTTTAAAGATTTTTTTTGTTATATGGGAAAAGTGGTTAAGAGAATACATTCAAGACCAGTGTATTTGTATTTAAAAACTGTCTACAAGATACTGAAACTATCTATGCTTTGTTGCCTTCATTGATAAGTGGGAATAATAACTTATTATATTTTTAAGGATATTAAAAGAGTTAATATTTTTAAAGCCTTGAGAATTGAGCCTAAAACTTAGTAGCCACGTTTTAAGTGTACTTCATATAAAAGTAAAGAACATAGATTTTGTACTGAGATATAAAGGCATTTAAATCTACTTTTTTCACTTAGCTACATTACCTAGGAATGATCAATTAATCTTTATGATCTTCATTTTCCTCATCTGTCAAAAGAGGATCATATCTTTAGGTTTTAAGATTTCTAAAAATATTTAACAAGAACTTCTGTATTGTATAATTTTGAACTAGATAATTTGGACCTTACCTTGAATTGTGGGAAACAAGAAAATCTGGGAAACATATACAATATTTACTTAAGGCCTCAGAGAATGATCAAGAAAATGAATAAGTAGGCTAGGAGTTGAAAAAAATATATAAACTTGGGGCAGTAATCTTAACATTTATGGTCACTTTTTACTAGGAACAATTTGAAGATTTCAGAGCAGATAACCGAAAATCTGAGATACAGATTAGAACTTTTAGCTGCCTCACCAGGTAGAGCAACAGTGATTAGAGTCCAAAACCCACCAAGGGATGATATCTGTCCCTTTGTGTTAAGCCTCAAAATAGATCCCCCTCAGAATATGTACCATGTGGAAATAAAAATGTCTCCTGCAGGCCAGGTTCAAATTATGCCAGTCCCTGAAATTATGTTCTCCTCTGTGGAGGAAATACATCGTTCTTGTTCTAAAATTATTTGTATGTATATTACAAATACAGTGGAACACAATAAAAAATATCTAGGGTCATAAAAAAGCAAGAAAACATGGATTAAAACCAGGAAAAAAACCCAAAAACAAAACAGACTCATTAGGGAACTATATATTTAAGTTACCAAATAGAAGATTTCAAATAAATATACTTAATGTGTACAAGGTTATAGATTGATTTTCTCAGGATTTTAAAATTATCTTTCAATTGTGCTTCAAGTCTTTATTTTTCTTTTCAAAATTTTATTACAGAAAATGTTTCTCAAATAATTTTTAGCATTTATCTTGTTCTATTATAGTTTTTTTCTTCACAGACTTCTGTTATATGTATGTATATCTATATCACAAGGAACCTCTTAAAACTTTTAATCTCTTGCTTAATTACTCTAATAATTTTTAAAATGTTTATTCCTTTACACCTTTTATTTTAAAAATAACATTTAGGCACATATTACCAGCTCTGTGATCCTTCCAGCTTATTCCTTATTATAAAAAAATAATAAATCTAGAATACCTAATACTTTTGACTTTAAAGAAGAATTGAAATCTTTTGAGTTTTTTGAGGTGGAAGAGGATATCAGATTACTTACAATAGAAAACAAAATGAAATTATTAATAGACTTTGTGACAGTAATAATTTATACTAGAAATCAAGGAAGTAACATAATTAAGATATGCAAAGAGATAAAATATGAGCCGAGTATTTTACATCCACTAAAGTGACCTTCAATTGGAAATGTTTCAATCAAACTCTTATGTACATACAAGGCCTTATGAAATATTGATTCATTGTCCTTTTCACAGAATCTAGAGAACAAACTTAATGCAATCTAAGTGGTTGGAATGGCAACAACATGAGGATTAATGGTGTGTGAGTATGTGTGTGTGTATCTATTTATCTATCTATATATATGTATAAAAAGTTTTTTAAGTGGGAGAAGTAAGTCAGTCAGCATGGTTGTGTTTTTCTCTGTCCACATTCAGCTGCAAGGGTAAATAAGGGATAGTAAACATAGAATTAACAAAGACTCTTATTATCCAAATATTTAAAATGCAGATATTAAGGTATTTTAGGGTATGCATGACAATAGGGGGTGCATGTAAATGTGTAAAGGAGAGATCATTGTAAGAGAAGAACAGTTACCCTGTTTCACTGCATGTTAGTGTCATCTATGAGTATACTGATATCACTGAAACTGATGATAGATGTAGTGTTGATTCAGTAACAATCAAGAGCAAAAATTTTCAAGGAAAAGGGGGTAGTTAGCCTGAGACTTCAAATATTGTTGCAAACAGGTGGGATAAGGAGAATGAGGATAACAACTAGATCAGTAACTAAATAGTAAATAGCTGTTTTGTGATATGAGTAAGAATGGAAGGAACCAAAGTAGAACTGCTGAATCCATAAAAGGAAAGTAGAAATGCATTTAGAAAAATCTTAATTCTACATAATTTTGCTTATGGTTGCTTGGTTAAAGCTGCCAATGCCGTGAAATAAATAGTTAATTTCTAAAGGAATTCAGCCTTGTATTAAGTGGTAACTTTACTGAATACTCATCTTTATTATTTTTAAACCAATAAGTATATCTACTTTATAATAGTTTCCCTTCAGTATTTTATATCCACTCTTGCTTTCACAATATTCAACACTATCCAATTCTTTTCCAAAAAATACTTTACAGGTTAAATTTAAAAGCTGAGAATGGCTGCTATTTACTATCTCTATCTTATGTAAATTAAATTATAAAGGAATAGTAAAACAAATAGCAGTTTTACATAGAATAAATCTTAAAACTAAAGAAAGCTGCGAATAAGAGCCATGGAATTTGCTTAACTGGTTAAGGTGATTAAGGTTAACGCCCTCCATGTGCTTTACAAATTCTGTTTAGTCATCTATGTTTGGATACATGGTAATCTAACGAATCAATCAGATCCTACATTTCAGCTCAACTAGTGGAGGGATAACAATAAAATTTGTGGAACAGAATTGTTCTATTGATCGCTCCTTAATCTAATCTCCTCTGCAGTATCTGCTGATCACTCAATTTCTACTCCTGCAGGTCTCTTACCCTAAAGCAATGACAGCTGGGGTTGCTATTATGTCAACAATGCTTGCTAGCTCTCTCATTAAGTCCTGTCACCCATTATCAGAATACAGCCATCAAAGATATGACAGCAAACACTTCTTATGAGTTTGAACCATGCTGTAAGAATAACATAACTGAATACACACACAGACACACTTACACACAACAAACACACACACATATTCTAGCCAGGTTTATTGACAGGAAAAGAGATTTGGTGCCAAATCAGGTAAGAAAAAAAGTATTAATTCCCTTGCTTTCCCATCAATCAAACTAGATTTGCAGGAGTCTGAACTTGGAAATGCAGAAATGCAGGTGACTTCTTACTTTCTGTTAAGAAAAATAGACATATTCAAGACATCGATTATCATTTTCAAAAGGAAGTAAAAGCTCATTTCAGTGATGGTATGACCTTCAATAATGCCAAACTCCTGCTGCCTTTAAAATGGCTTTTATGATTCAAGGGGATATTTTTCTTTCTTTAGCTGAGATTTTAAATGTGGTTTGGTCAGGTGTCCTATAGAAATATAGATTAAGGGAAGACAGATCCAAAGAGGAATACTGTAATAATTCCAGTTAATAATTTGGGGAAGTAAAAACTAAGAAAATTATTTGCATGTTAGTTCAGTGTAGAAATATAATTTCTGCATTCTTTTTAATAAAAGGAAGTAATAATCTAAATTAGTGGAAAGTAAACCTATTTAATTACATATGTATAATTTAATAAATATGCATAAATATTAATCATATGGTATATTCGCCATTTAAGATTACCTACCATTTTACTTATCTTGGAAAAAAATCCCTTATGTTGATTAAAAGTGTACAATATAATCTAAAAATCTTAATGATGGCATTAGTATTCCTGAAATCTTTGAAAATTTAAAAAGATTTTTAAACATTGCCTTCTTCATTCTTGTCTAGCTATAAAAGGTGTAATAAATATGGTGAAAGGGGGCTAATGACATCCAGGCATTTAACATCCTCATTTTTAAGACTTTTATGAACTACAATTAGATAATTACTACTAATTGGTATGTTAGGATAGCAGAATTATTAGAGTGTATTAGAGAGTTAGCAGTATGTTGAATGTATGGCATTCATCCAGTGATCAGTGGCACTGACATTTTCCTTGCCCTTTTTTGTTAAAATTGGAAAAAGAACCACTCTTACTCTTTATTAACTCCAAATATGATCTTGCTTATAATTTTCAATAGTTTATATGTTATGCTATTCATATTTGTGTTTTTCATATTAATATATTGCTTTTTGCTATAGCTCAAGGCAGTTAAACAAATTATTCACTGCGAACCAAAACCTAAATCCAAACCTGAAAACTAAATTGCAAATACTGTTGGCATTTTGAAAGTTCTTTTTTACTCTTAAATTTTGGATATATTTTTTGAGTAAGTTTTTATAACAAAATCATGCTTAAAATCACACATTTTCTAAGGATGTGACCATCATATGAATGCTGTCATTATCTTAAATGTAAAGGCATCTGAGTTTATGTGTGAAAGATAGAATGAAGACAAATGGGTGTATCCAAATACAGCAATGAAGTCAAAGATGAACAAAGATCTATACCAGTCATATTAAACTGTTAAAGAGGAAATTAATCTCTAGTAGTCTGTTTTATATTCTTTTTAATATACTATGCTACTTAGATCACTTAGAAAAAGGAGTTAAATAATAAATGAATAAATTCCTATGGGCATTGATTTACAGTTACGTGGCTAGAAAATTGCTTTAAGGACAGGAAAAAATATGGACATGTCTATTGTAAGATATTCAGAGATATTCACTTTCTCATGGACAAACCAAATGAAGCTGACTAGTCCCTAAAGGCAGTATTAAGGATTGCTAGATATTATCTGCCACCTCAGCTGCAATATTGAACATCATAATTTCTCAGGAATATTTTTCTCCATTTAATCCAAGTTTCCCCTGCACATGTACATACTCACACACATACTCAGGCACACACACATTTTTCAGAATGAATAATAGACTAGGATTCTGAGATATAATTTTGCATGTAACTCAATACCCAAGAGCAATTCTTCATTACAATGTTAAAAGACTCATTTTAGGCCAACATTAACATTGCTACTTTATGCTTTAACATGTCAGGCATGTTCTGCTTTGGAGTCATCTTAATAGATCTTTCTTCCTTGCTAGTTATTCATGGCTAGTAACACCAACAGAAATTTGGTGCCTAAAAGCATAGCAACAGGCTTTAAGAAAATATTACTTGTACCATCTTTCATTCTTTCATCTATTCATTCATTCGTTCAATGAGTGATGGACACCTTTATGATTCATTTCCCCATAGGTTATTTAAACAGATATAATTTTTTATAGCATTTTCCCCATTAATCCAAATCTTCCATATAATTACTGTATTCAGATTTTCCTTCTTTCTGAATCTGTGTCCATTTGTTGAGATAAGCAGTGATTTTCTCCCTCCATGGCCATGCATCACCTGTAAAGATTCTTTTAGTAACTCATTTCACTAACTGAAGAGCACCTTGGATTAAGGCCTCAATTTCTGCATGTTTTCTAAAATTCCACAGGTTTATTCTTCTCTTTTTATCCAAAAAGTTTATTCTTATTAAAATTATAAAGGTTTATAAAGGTTATAATTATTAAAATTATGAAGGTTTATTCTTTATTCTTATTAAAATTATTTATTTTTATTACAAAATTAAAAGATAAGAAAAAGAGGAGAAAATGATAAATATAAAATCAGAATTTCTTTCAGTCTCCAGCTACAAAGATTACAGCAATAAACAATGTGTCATGCATCTTTTTGGGCTATTTCTATGCATTCATAGAGTAAAAGATGCATCTGTCTATGCATATAAATATATACATGAGCAAATGTACAAACATTAAAATATGCATACAAAAAATATCATATATGTATATGTGTATATATATATACACACACATACAAATATACACACAAAAGCACACTTTTAATGACAAATATAAGATTATAATAGTCATATACATTGTTTCTTTTCCAATATCTTCATGTCTCTATATCTTTCTTTTACCTTTTTCTGTGGATATAAATATGTTAAGTCCCCCTCACCACAATAAGTAAATGGACAGGTAATAAGTTCCCATCTCCCTCTAGAAACCATTCTACACCCTTTCCTGCTCAATAGAACTCCTTGAAAGAGAAGTGTACACCCCTGGTCTCCACCTACTCAGTACCAATCACTTCTCATTGCAGTATGCCTTGAGAACATCACAAGAAACTACTTTTGAAAACGCATCAATGGCTTCTTTCTAAACAAATCTAATATTTTTTTAAAAAGATGTAAATATAGGTGTATTGCAGGATGAGTGGCTTATTGTGTCTTAATATTTCTTTTTCTTTTTAAATCTTCTTTGACACTGTTTCCTCACTTTTGTTTATTCTTAGTCTGTTATTTGAGTGTGTCATTTTGTTTGCAAAGCTTTGGTGTCTTCTATAGTCTTTAACCTTTTTCTTTTTCTTTGTATATTCTTTTTGGGTGAGCTCATCCCCTCTCACAATTTAATACTTTCTACATGCTAATTGGTTTAAATCTAATTTTCTAAGCCCAGTTTATACTGAAGTTACAGATTATGCATTTAATTTCCAGTTAGTCTCATGTCCTGTGGGTTCTTCAAATCTGTCCTAATATTGAGCTCATTATCTTTCTCTCTATGTCCCCACCTCACCCTCTTCAACTCTGTGGTTTTCCTTAGATTCTATATAGCTGTAATTAATGGCTTTACCAAATCAAGTACCAAATCAAATGAATTTGAAACGTGGAAGTTATCTAACATTTACCTTTTCCAATCAATTGCTAGTTCCTGACAATTTTACCTCTTAAATTTTGACTTCAAATATTTGTCCTCCTTTCTAGTCCCATCAATTAACTGTATGTCTTATCTTGCTTTGTTTATTGCAATAGTCTCACAAGTGGTCAGCCTGACTTAAATCATGTCTATCTTTAATGTGTTTTCCTTTTAGTAATCCATTTATTTAGAATTCAAATGTAGCAACATCAGTCCCTTGGTTTAAAGTTTAAACAAATCTTATTTCTGTATTGCCTACCAAATCCTCTCAAACCATTTAGTGTGGCTTGAAAGTGTGCAGTTACTTGACTTTTTCAAATCTCTTTTTAGTTTCTCTTACCTCAATTTGTACTTCACTATTTGTATTTATACAACATGCTATGCTTTCTCTCATGCATTTCTTTAGTTTGTCCTTCAGAATACTCATTTCATTAACTCCATCCCATTCTACAGTTTATTGGTTTTTTTTTTTTATATATCTATTAGAAAAATTTACCTGAACCTCAAGGTTAGTTGAGATATTCCTATGCCCCATAGCTCTGTGCCTATTGTTAACTTAGCCTTTGCATGATTTTGAAATTTTCTGTTAGTGTGCTTATTTCACCTAACAAGCAGCAAATACCTCAACATCGCAGTCTGTATTTTATTTATATCTATATTTACAGGGCCTTGCACAGTGTCTACTAGTAGGTACTCAATAAATATCTGTGGACCTTAAAGTAAAATTAATGTTTGAATATATTACAACATTACTTACAATGTACAATTTCCCAAATTGTGACATATATTATAAATAATTATGGTAACAGATAATCAATCCCAATGCAATATGATTGGCCTATATCTGTGTTTCAGCCAGGTTCAGTCACCCTCCTTCAGCATATTTTTTGCTTTCTTTAGTTGTATGCTTTTTGTTTGATCAGAGAGAAGTCATAAATCCTTGCTAGTTAATTGTGGATTGTACTTGCAAGTACAAAAGTAGTTCTCTTGCTCATAAAGAACCAGTATAGTGAAGTAATTATTAGAGCCTCCTTGGCCAGGATGCCTGAGTTTGAATCTGGACAATGTCATCAACCAGCTGCACATTGCTTGACCTTGCTCTGCTTCAGTTACTTATGTATAAAATGAGCATGATAATAATATCCACTACATAAGTTTTTTTTGTGTGTGGAATGAATTAAATAATATATATAAAGAGAGGAGGGAATGGAGAAGATGAAGAAAAAAATTGATTAAGATAGGTTCTTGATCTCAAGGATATTTTACTTTAGTGTGTGTGTTTGTCCAGAAAAATGGTGCAAGGTTATGAAATAGAATAACCACAACCTACATGGATGAGAGAGATATATTCAAAACAAACTTTTAGTTTGCAGAACAAATAAGAGGCCACTTCTAACTATGTCTGTCTATAAGGGTAACATTTAAGTCATCATGAATTAGGTCATTGTGAGAGAAATAAATATGAAGAAAGTCTTAAAACTTGAAGGGTACAGTTTGACAGGGAAATAAGAGTAGAGACAGAAGTACAAGTTACCACTGATGACACAATTTGAGGTCACACAGAGACTTATGAATGTCACACTGTGGAATTTGAATTTTATTTTAGGATATGATAGTTATTGAAGCATTATTAACAAAAGTGACAGAACTAGAACTGTGTCTTAGGGTTATTAATCTAATCGGGCCACAAGCATTGGTTGGATTATAGGGCAAAATAAAAAAAATCTGGAGGTGGGAAACCAGGAGACTTTTCAATAAAATTATTAAGAAGTAATAAAGTCACGAATTTAGTACCAATGGCAATCAAAGAAAGGTTACTATATTGAAAGGCCTCATTACACTTCTTTGAATTTAATCTGAAGGAAATTTTATCAAAAATAAAGTAACAATTCCTTTTATAAATTATTTAGACATTGTTCTCATGATGTAGAATTATTCTAAAATAGAGATTAAGTAAAACAGTAAAATGTATATCTTTAAAAGCATCGATTGGATTATTCTGCCTAAATGTTTATTTGACAAAGGTATGTGAAAGAAAATTTATGAATTTCAGGTACATTAGGAAAACAAATGGAAGTGTCAGCTGTCTGCATGCACCATTACATGCTCACCTAGAGTGGACAATGAACAAACTGACATTGATCACCTTGTTTGCCTTGTAAGATATACTCAAAGTGTCCAAACACATTGGTTTCTTTGCTGTAAGTATTGTTTAATAAAATTGTTACTTCACTTGTGACATCTGCTATGTTCTGATAGTAAATAGTGCTATCTATTTAGTAAAATCAGTGACATTAGAAAGTTTAGCAGATGTTTTAGGGCACAGACACAAACCTCATCACGAATAAATTCAGGAATAGATTTTAACACCAATTTGTTATTTTGCTCTTTTAACTTTTTTTCTTCTTGATCTGTCTTGTAATTAAAGGGACAGAGGTGCAATGAATATGGAGAGGCTTCTAAAATATGGCACTTTGGTAAGGGCATTTTGTAGATTGTGTGATTCACAGACACCCTTTCCTGTACTTCAGCTTTAGAAAATTTGTAATTCAAAAAGCCTCAGGAAAGAGATCTTGAGTTGATGTATTTTGAAATAGATAATCTCCATAAAAATGTCATCACATTAGACTTTTGGACATCCAGAGCAATAATTAAACATAGCACTTTGAATTTCCAGGACCACTGATAGATTCTTCCATCATCCTTAAGAGCAAGAAGCCTAGAATTTGGTGTTTCTCTGAGACAGAAAAAAGTCTTGAAGGTGTGACAGTTTCCTATTACATCATTAATCATAATTCTGTGACATCTATGGACACTGGAGATTGATCATTTCTCCCAGTCCAATAATGGAAAAATAAAAGCATGTTGATACTTTTAATTATTACATGAAATATGTAGCAAGAAAAGTGTGAGATTCTATATTAGAAAATCAGAATTCAATTCAGGTTCTGCTATTAGGTTATCTCAGCGGGTGGCCTAACGTCTCTGAATCTTATTTCCCTCAACTATAAAAAAATTCATAGAATGCCACAGGAATTAGATAAGTGGCACTTAGTGCAGAGCCTAGCTTATTCCTATGAAGACAGGGAATTCAAAAGTTCAATGCTTAGCAAAACATTGATTATATTCATTTAATATTTTAGGTTACTTATAATCTTGAGGAATTTAGCAAAAATATAGATTTTATTGATTTCACAAATATTTTTCAGGTTTCATTCTGTTATGTACTTTTTGAGGCACTAAAGAGAAAGCAGTGAATGAAATAAATTTCCAGATTTTCTAGAGCTTCTGTTAATGTGGTAATGTTTCATGAAGAAAGATTAAGCAGGTTAAGGGGAGAGAGTTAGATATTAGATATCTAACTACAGTTAGATAAACTAGAGTTAGATATTATTTTAGATAAAGTTGTTAAGGAAGGAAACTCAGATTAGAAAAAAAATTTGAACAACGACCCAAATGAAATAAGCATTGTGAATGTGGGAGTTCATTCCCCAAACAAAGGAAATGAGCATTGAAATGGGCCTGAGGTGGAAAAGGCCCAGGCATGTTTAACCCTTATAATTCTGTTAGGTATTACATTTTTTCCCTCTACAGGTCTTAAAGGTGTTAATTAAAAAGCAACTATAAGGCCGGGCGCTGTGGCTCACGCCTGTAATCCTAGCTCTTGGGAGGCCGAGGCAGGCGGATTGCTCAAGGTCAGGAGTTCAAAACCAGCCTGAGCAAGAGCGAGACCCCGTCTCTACTATAAATAGAAAGAAATTAATTGGCCAACTGATATATATATAAAAAATTAGCCGGGCATGGTGGCGCATGCCTGTAGTCCCAGCTACCCGGGAGGCTGAGGCAGAAGGATCACTCGAGCCCAGGAGTTTGAGGTTGCTGTGAGCTAGGCTGACGCCACGGCACTCACTCTAGCCTGGGCAACAAAGCGAGACTCTGTCTCAAAAAAAAAAAAAAAAAAAAAAGCAACTATATTAAAGTCAGAAAAACCTTAAGTATGTAATCACATAGAAATATCTTAGGTGTGTGGCTGAGACACAAGATGAAAAGCCCATACACTTCCGGGATATTTAAGTTCAGTGAAGAAAGTTCATTACAGTACACCTAAGGATTTAAATTCTGGAGCAATAAAAAATCTTCTAAATTATAGTGAATGAATTATTGAACCCCAAATTGTAATTAATTCATGATTAGACAGCTATTTAAGATTTTTTTTTTACTTCTAACTATTCCATATACCATTTTCCTCAGTATTATTTAGTAGATTTACCTTTTGTTTTGTGTTTTACATGTTTGTTTTAAATTTTGGTTATTGTTGTTTTTGTTTTGTTTTAAATGGTAGAGATAAAATGACCTACAAGATGAAATCTGAGAAAAACACACACTTAGGTATGAATTCTGTTAAACAGAGGTAAATTAACACTTTTCCCATACTCAAAAATTTAAAAGCTCCTATTTTAATCTTTTTTCTTAGAGTAAAAATTTCTATTTTACAAATCATGTAACTTCTGATCACATTTGCCTTAATTTATGGATTTTGGTGTGATGTACATAATACACTAGAATTAGGCCCTACTCATTAATACATAGTTTTGTGCCTAGCATCATTTTTCTTCTTTTGTTTACCTACATTTTTACTTTCACATATAAGATTTTTATCTGGTTTTGAAAACGAATGACATTTTACTCTATAGAAATTAGGCTGATGGAAGTAGAACTTGCATTTTTTGTGTTTTCAACACTTATATAGCATTCTGTGTGCCTTCCAAATTGTGTTTTATGGTAGACCTCATAATATATTCCAGGGAGAGACAGTAAATTTTGGAATGAAGACTGTTCTTACAGTCAGGAACTTGAATGGCATTCTTATTTTTGCTGCTAACTAACTTGAGCAAATCATAACTTTCTGGGCTTTAGTTTTCCCACCTGGGATATGATGTATTGGATGTGTGAGTGTTTTTAGATCCTAAACATATATGATTCTTTAATATTTAAATGTATTCATATTTAGGAAATGCTACATGAAATTTTGTTGTTTTAACCATTACTTGTTTCAGATACTTTCAGAAACCCAAATATAATGTTGAACATCACTTATACCCTGACATTATTAATTTCATATCCGGAGTGAGCTATCAAAAAGTGTGAATATTTTAAACTTCTCTAACTCATCTATTCACAAATGGATAGATACCCAACCTCCATATTTTATGACCCATTTTATTAGTTTGAACTCTTTTACCTCTAGTTGTTATATTTTTTATATATACATTCTTTATCCTTCTTAGTAGATTGGAAACTTTATGAAGATAATGGATATATCTTTTTGTGATATCTTGTGATTTTTAGCACAATGTGCAAAACAGTCACAAAAAAATAAATATGTTAACAGATGCTTTCTTAAGCAAGGGCAATGAATAACAGGAATGATTCTCAAACTGGTCTTACTAAGACATTGATTTATTATTGTCATCAAGTAAAAGGGCCATGTACAGAACTCCAACCACAAAATCTAGTGATGGATTTCCTTAGACATCTTAGATTCAAACTTAATTTGTGTCCAATTAAATTAAGGAGAAATAAGTCAGATAATGTCATGTCATGTAAATGCCTGATCTCACCATTATTTCCATAGCAACTTGATTTATTGTGAATATCATTGTAGAATAAAACTGGATTAAATAAAATAAATATGAGATATGAGAAAACAAAGGGACACTATGTAAAACTAGTATTCTGTCAATCTCTTCTTTCATGTTTTCTCTAGAGTAAAAGTACTACTTAAAAAGGAGATATGGCATAAGAATACATTCATTTGCTAGCATAAAATTAACTTTACTCATTTATTTAATTGTTTATTCTTTTGACACATTTCATTTGGACTTTAGGGTAGATTAAACAAAGTTCTTTGGTTTTCTGATATATATTTTTTGTCATAGAAATTCTGTCCTAGAAACAGAAGGCTGAGTTCATATTAATCTTGACACGTTTACATTTTTAAAAGTTTGATAAACAAATTTATAAGCATTATTAAAACAAAGAAGTAATTCTGTTCACTTTTTAATGCCCATAACAGTTTGCAATTGAAACTCATTTTAAATACAATTGTGTTCCTGATTGCCTGTCAGTTTAATTTTAAGAATACTTTCAGATAAACTTTTGAACACTTTCTCTTTATGAAAAACAAACGACTGCTATAAATTCATTCACACCACCAGACGAAATTCAATGTCAACAACAAGAACAAAAAGTATAAATTTTATCATTCCTTTTATACAAATAGGATGGAAAATTTTGTGTAGATTATTGTTAGGGGACTATAAGCCAGATGGCCTGTCCTAGCTTAGGCAGGTATCAGAAATCCAGATTCTGTTCTATTCCAGGTACTTACAACTGATTCATTCTGTGTGGTTTAAGCATATATGAATTATTCACTTTTTGAACTGGTTGTATATCTACCCAAACACACAAACATTTTATATGCTTGTTGAACTTTTTAGTTTGAAGAATTGTTTCTAAGTTAATCAAGTTAGAAAACCTTTCTAACTTGATAGCCAGTGGTTTCATGTGTTTGTCTCCTGTCCTTCCCAAGTTACTTTAACCTCCTGCTTCTTTTCTCTGTCATAGTGTGTACTAATGGTAAGGAATATGAGACAATGAACTAAGGATAGAGTGAAAAAACCAAGAGGCGTAGAATATGCTATTTCCTAAATAATACTTGGATTCTTTTGTAATTACAATAACTCAGTCCATTAATATTTTATCCTCAGAATCATCCTGATAATGTAGCTTCTCTGTGTTTTACATTCTTCTTCATCAACATGGTGATACGAATACTTTTTTACAGGGTAATTGTAAGGATTAGATAACTCTAAAGATATAACTTAATAAATACTATTAGATATTATATTATTATAACTATCATTACTATTATGACTGTAGTTATTATATGGTAATTTATTTATGTGAGAATAATGATATCAGAGATTTTAGAATACTAATTCAAGTAAACTTCTAGTTGGATAGAAAAGAAATGACCATCAAATGGTGCAATTTTCTATGGTTAATAGCATGAACACATACCAATATTAGGTGGGACATTCTTTTCCCATTTTAACGTATGCCTTTTAGGCTTTATAAAGTAATTTCTCAAGGACTTCCTTGACATTCATATTATTTTTTTCATCTATGTAAGGAAAGA